TGTGTGTGTGTGTGTGTGTGTGTGTGTGTGTGTGTGTGTGTGTGTGTACGTGTGTGGAGGTCAGGGGTTAATCTCCTCATGACCTTATCTTTCGGAGACAGGGCCCATAGCTGACCTTGAGGCTCACCCATTGCAGCTAGGCTGGCCAGCCAGTGACCCTCCGGGCCCTCCTGTCTCACCCCCTCAGCACTGGGATTTCAGGTGCATGCCTCTGTGCTTGGATATTTCAGGCTTGGGTCTTCAGGCCTCCACAGTAAGCCCTTTATTCACTGAGCCACCCCAACACCTCCACACTCCAACTCTTGGGTCACTAAAACAATATATTTTAACAATGTCTCACTGTGTGGCCCAGCCTGGCCTAGAATTTATGGAGATCTATCTGCCTTTTTCTCCTAAGTGCTGGGATAAAAGGGGTGCGCCACCATGCCTGGCCTAATTTAGATAATTTTACTAATGGAGACAAGATAATGTTCAGTAGACAAGGAAAAGCACCACCGAAGAAGGCCGGCTTACTAGCAGAGTTGAAAGTACTAAATTTTTTATTAAGAAATTTTCAGAATCCAAGTTATCATATTTTTCCAAAGCTCAATTCTTCCTGGGTTGCTTTTCACTCAAAAGATTTTGGAGGGGGTGGAGAGCTAGCCTAGCAATTAAAAGGAGGCACTGCTCCTGCAGAGGCCCTGAGTTAGTTCTCAGCATCTAAATCAGACAGATCACAAGCACAACTTCAGCTCCAGGGGATCTGATGCCCTCTTCTGGTTACTGTAGGTACTGCACTCACATGCACATACACACATAGACATAAATACACATAATTAAAAAGTAAATCTTTAAAAATAAAAAGACCAAAAGGAGAGAAATCCTCTGGGTAGCCACCAGTTGTTCTTATGGTTTTCTCTCATCTGGGGCCTTAACCTGGAATCTGTCTTCAGACTCCTCTAGAGGACCAAAGTCTCTGCTCCGAGCTCACGGCTCCCACCGAGCTCACTGCCCCCCACCATCTTCCGCTTGCTCGTTCTTCAAGCGTTTACTCATATTTCGATCAAGACTGTCATTGCAATGACCAAACAATCCCCAGAATGTCAGTGTCATTTGGCCATACAGTTAGGTCAGCTGCAGCTGCCAGGGCAGACAGCCAAAATAGCTAACTGCTAAGCTGGGCCTCAGGTCCCCAACAGCAGCAGCAGTCATGAGAAGGGTGGAGATTAAGCACAGCCTAGTGATGAATGGATAATGCCCAAAGCTGGCTACAGCTCCCCAGGGCCCCACGGCCATACTCACACAGCAGCCTGAGGCCTGGGCTAGCCCAGTGCTCATGCTGAGGCTGGAGGCCCTCCCTGGACCATGTCCCCTGCAGCTATACAGTGACAACAGCCCACCCTGGGCTCGGCCACATCGGAGCTGATGGTTCCTGGGTTCTTCCAGGGCCTGAGTGGGTTTATGCCATCTCACAAAGCGTCCTCTGACCCCCACGGGGCGCTGTCTCACATGTGTGTGCCTCTGCCCAGGAAAAAACAACTTACAGAGAATTACCCCCAACAACCACGCAAACAGATTCACTTCTGAAATCTAAGAAGATACAGCCTGGCCAGGGACGGGGATCATGGGCTCCTTCTCTGCCTGGGTGTAAGCATCTCCTACAACTCCCGTGCAGCTCTGCCAACTGCCTACCAAGAGCTGCTCGCCCCTGGCCATCACCATGCACCGAAGATATGCCCATCCTGTCAGAACCCGTTCCTGTTTTGAGGGATATTGGCTGGCGACGGTGTAGGAAATGCCACTCAAAGATTACCACGTGTACATAAACCACTTCCTTGTAAAGAATTAAGATGCGACAGCTTCCACAACGAACAACAGTTTGACAACTACAGAATCAAAAGCGAAAGCCAAGGACAAACAAAGTTTTGGTGCAGAGTGGCCAGCAAGTGTCACCTGCGGACTCGATTGGTAAAACCACAGCAAGTACAGGCAGTGCACGGTGGGGGTGCTCTGTTGCCCTCTGGAACCGTCGCTTAGAGTGCGTTCTGCCCAGTGCTTGGGGGACAGCACTGCTCAGGGAGGACAGCGCGACCACATCTTTTGGACAACTCATCTCTTAGAAAATGCCGAAACTCTCTGACCACAAGCGCCCACGCCTGTAACAATACCCTCCCCACCGTTACTAATCAATTTACCATTATCAGGGCACCTGCAGGCGATTGCTACAGTACTCATCACGCTACCAAATGATCACACTCAGTACTGGGGCACACCAGTGGAAACTCAGCAACAGGCTGAACGGCATTCTGTAAGACAAAACCAAAGTCCGGTGTGCTCCCTCCCTCCCGGCACGGGGCTGCGCCGGGACACAGGCCGGAGCCAGCCCGAGCTTTCTAACTCGGGCGGGCTTACCTTAGGAGGAGCTCCTTGGGTAACTTCTTGTTGATGAGGCCGTCATCGTTGTTTGAGAAAACCTGCAAGGAAGAGAGACACTGGAGAATGGTTCTTTGGCCATCCCACACCCGGGCATGTATCACATCCATACACTCACATGGCACACCCCACGCTCACACAGAAAGAAAAACAAAAGAATGTAGTTTTCTGGGAGGGGTGGGCATGCCTGCAACCCGGCGCTGCAGAGACTGGCACAGAAAAGATGTCTGCCTGGGCCAGAGAGTGAGACCGACCTCAGAAAATCGGAGAGAGGAGAGAGAAACGAGATGGGGGAGGGGAGAAGAAAGGAGGAGAGGTGCTTAAACAACAACTTTCCCGATTTTAACATTTACTCTATGGCTGGGCACAGGAACATGTAGCCATCTCAGCTGCTGCAGGGGTTGGCACAGAGCAAACACTTGAGCCCAGACACACACACACAAACACACACACAAACGTAACTAAAATACTTTAATGTTTTGGGTTTTTTGTTTATCTTTTAGCTCTTTATTCAAACTCATGTGACTCTGGGTGTACTGTTTTGGATGAAATGACCCCCAGAGGCTCCCAGAGGCACTATTGGAAGGTGTGGCCTTGTTGGGGGAAGGGTGTCACTGGGGTGGGCTCTGGAGCCTTAGAAGCCCAAGCCAGGCCCAGCGTCTCGCTCCTTTCTTGCCGCCTGCTGATGCAGATGTAGAACTCTGAGCTGCCCCTCCAGTACCACGTCTGCCTGTGTGCTGCCATGCTTCCTGCATGACTGACAGTGGGTAAATGTCTGAACTGTTGGCCCCAATTCAATGCTTTCCTCTCGAAGAGTTGCCGGGGTCATGGTGCATCTTCCCGGCAATAGGAGCCCTAAGACCACGTGCATGTATGCAGTTGTGTGTGCAGCCCACGGGGGCCAGAGGAGGGCGTTGGACTGCCCGGAACTGGAGTTACAGGCAGTTGTGAACAGGCATGGGTGCTGGGAACGGGACTCAGGTTCTCCACAGGAGCCAGCTTGACCAGCGAGGCTTCTCTCCAGCCCTAAAGAACTAAGTTTAACTGAAACAATGAAGTCCTGACATAATTAAGGACAAATGGATGAAGGGAACAGAGCTGAAAGCCAGGAGCCACTGACTTAAATGGTAAAGTCGTCTTTTCAAGAAATGGTGCCAGTGTGGCTGGAGGGATGGCTCAATGGTTAAGAGCACTGGCTACTCTTCCAAAGGACTCAGGTTCAATTCCTACACCCACATGGCAGCTTATAACTATCTGTAACTCCAGTTCTAGGTGATCTGACATCTCTACACAAATGCACATAAAATAAAATTAAATAAATTAATTTTTAAAAAGAGAAAAAAGAAATGGTGCCAGGAGGACGGGATACCCCTCATGAAAACAATGGGGCTGGTCTTTATCTCCACCTCAAGAACTCACTCCTAGTAAAGGCATGTGGCATAAACACAGGATCAACAACCGCTACCTGTGTGCTGGGAGCTACGACAGGTTTAAACCAGGAAACCAAAAGCACATGTAACAGCAGGTTAAGATTAAAACCCTCAGCCAGAGTGGTAACACACACCTTTAATCCCATCACTCAGGAGGGAAAGGCAGGCGGAGCTCTGTGAGTTCGAGGCTAGCCTTGTCTACAAATCGAGACCTGGACAGCCAGGGCTACACAGAGAAACCCTGTGAAAAAGATGAGAACCTTCTTGATACAGAGGGCATCACCGAGAACAGGAAAAGGGCCTGGGCGTGGTAGCGCACTCTCCCGCAACCCCAGCACTTCAAAGGCGGGGACGGACGCAGGACTGCCTCAGTTCAAAGCCACACTAGTGTCTACTGAGAGTTCCAGGCCCTGGAGGGAGTCCTTAGGTGAGTAGGAGTGACAGGGAAAACAGAGATAGACCAATACTCATGAATATTTTTGAATGGCATGAAGGGAGGCCATGACACACAGCGCACCTCTCCACAAAAAGGCCGGCCCTGGGGAGAGGCTCCGTGGGCGAAGAAAACACCTGCTCAGCAAGTGTGAGGATCTGAGTTCAAACCCCCAGCACCCATTTAAAAACAACGAAGCACAGCTGAGCACACCTCAAACCCAGCACTGGAGAGGGGACAGGCAAATCCAAGGGACTCACGGAACAAGAAGCAGGGCTGAAATGGTGAGCCTCGTGTTCAGTGTGAGACCCTGTCTTAAGCAAGGCAGAGTGACAGATGAGGACATCCAGCACCCTGCTCTGGCCTCCACATGCGCAGATGTGCACCCTCACAGTCACATGTATGCACCTCATGACACAACTCACACATAAAGATGGCGAAGAAGCGGCCAAGATGGCAAAGAAGCGGCCGTGATGGTGTGTGCCTGAAGTCCCAGCTCCTTGGGAGGATGAGACAGAAGGAGTCACCTGAGACCAGCCTAGGCAACATCATAAGACCCACCTCACAGGTAAACTGAGGCCGTACCTCGGGTGACAGAGTGCTGGCCTAACGAGGAAAGGCCTGGTTTTCATCCCAGCACTACCTGACTGGGTCCATCCGAAACCCAGGCATCCAGGAGGCAAAGGCATGGGCATCGGAACGTCAAGGTTATTCTCAGCAACACAGCAAGCTTGAGGCCAGCCTGTGACTTTTTTTTTTTTTTTTTTTTTAATCTTTAGAGGTCAGAACGATGGCTATGAGCCTCCATGTGGGTGCTGGGAACCGAACCCAGGTCCTCTGCAAGAACAGCAAGTGCTCCTAACCACTTAGCCACCTCTCCAGTTCCCGAACATCGAAATTTTTAGGATTTTTGTTGTTGTTATATGCATACATTTCTATTAATGCACGCCACGTGTGTGCATTGCCCAAGGAGTTCAGAAAGGACCTCAGATCCCCGGAACCGAAGTCACAGGCAGCTGTGAGCCGTGTGGGTAATGGCAACCAAACCCAGGGATTCCGCAATTCTTTTTGTCATTTATTCTTTTTTATTCTACGTATATGGGTGTTTTGCCGACATGTCTGTGTTCCACCTGCAAGCCTTGTACCTACAGAGACCAGAAGAGACCGTCAGATGCCCTGGAAATGGAATTCCAGAAGGCTTTGAGCAGCTATGTGGCTGCTGGGATTTGAACCTAGGTTCTCTGGAAGAGCAGGCAATGCTCCTAACCCTGGGCCATCTCTACACACACACACACACACACACACACACACACACACACACACACACACACAC